CGGGCCCCTGGCGGCGGCGGCAGGACAATAAGGGGCCGGGGCGGCGCGGCGGGGCGCCGGCCTAGCGCAGGAGGAGGAGCTGGTGCTGCGGGGCTGCCCGCCCGCGGGGGAAACTCGGCGGTGGCGGCAGTGGCGCTTCCCGGTAGCGGCGCGGAATCTGGGCCGAGGTGAGCGGGGCGAGGGGCGGGCGAGCCGCGTGGGGAGGGCGACGGTGCCTGGAGCCGCCCTTTGTGCGGCTGGGGCCCGCGGGGCGCAACTTCCTTTGTTCCGCGCAGGCGGCTCCGGATGGCGGCCGGGCCCTGCCGGGGCGCGGGGCTGGGGACCGGAACCAACTTCCAGCCTGGGCCTGCGCCAGTTCCTAGCGCCCAGGTGGAGGCCGCCTGCCCGCCGGCGGCACTGCTCGAGGAAGCCCGCGGGCGCTGTCCCCGGCTCGTACTAGGAGCTCCGGAGCGTCCGTGTCGTGGCCGCTGCTTGCTGTGCGCCGTGGGGGAGCCGATACAACGCTGCGGAGCCAAGTTTCTATGCGCTCTTCGGCCTGCTGTGGTTTAAGGGGGCTCAAGGAGCTGCTGCCACATGTTAGATATACCGGGGTCCCCGCGCTGCTTGAGCAGGGAAGAGAGAGACTATATCCAGGAAGCAGGAAGCTGTGAACTTTTTTTTAAAGGTCTGGGAAGCCAAGGCTGTGGAGTGGCTTGTTTGCTTTGGTAGAAACCAGTGGGAATTGCGTTGTCCCTAGTGAGGTGAACCTGACAGACTGTGGTTTGTTTTGAGTGATGAGATGAGGTAGGGTGTACAGTGCCGGCTGCTTGTGGAGTTGAGCAGTATGGTGCTGGGGGGGTAGGGTGGTTCAGTTTTGAGTTTTGCAACAAGGCATCTTAAGCTTTCCTTTTTGTGTGAACTTACCTACACCTGGGTCTGAGTGCAATCGGAGGTAGACAAGGGACCACCAGTTAAATAACAAGGCAGGTTTGTGTTTTGTGTGAAAGTTTTGTTCATCTGACACAGACTGGTTTGATAGTTTGTTTTTAGTAGAAAAATGATAACTTTCAGCTGATCTTAGACACCAGGTATATCGGTAATACACATTTGATCTGGTGTACAGCTTACAGGTTTACCCTTGCGGGCAGCAATAAACGTCTTGAAAGGACTGGAACAAAATAGATGGCAGTGAACTTCAGCTTCCTTATATGGCTTAGGCTTGGCAGAAAAGCAATGAAGCCTAAATAGAGTAATCCTTTTACAAAGAACGATCACTTTCCAAAGCAGTGCTTCATTCCCAATAATGACTTAAGTTTCTAAGAGGAGGAAAAACTGTAGCAGTGCATGACAAAAGTAGTTGCAAATCAGTGTGTTTGTGGAAAATTTATTTCTTTTCAGACCTTTTGGTTGTCTGTTGATGCACTTCATATTTTTTCTATGATGTGCTGGAGAATAGATCCTTATAGTTGGGGCTGCAACGTTTTACACTAGTGTTTTGTCACCATGGTAGCTGTGATAAGGCCCTTCTTTAATGATGAAAGTGGAATTCACTACTGCTTACAGCTAAGGGCTACGTCATAGAATTCCATTCATTTCATTGCCAGAGTGTTGGTTGTAATCAGGAAGCTGATCCTTCTGGGTAATCAGCAGCATCTTTTAATGGTTTAAAAAATAGATGGCAGTATATTTTTAATTGACAGTTTTTTTCAGTTTAGTTATGTAGTATAAAACATTCAGTCTCTGGTAGGGGGAGCTTGTGTACCCCACCCTATATAACTTTCACTGTTTAATCTTTAAAATTATATATTGCTTTGTTACTGAAATATTTTCACTTAATGTACTTCTTTCCCAATCCCCCCCAAATTGAGTTATGCTGTTGGGGGGGGGGGGGG